AGGAGGACTGCAAGTTTTTGAAACATTATTAATCAAACAGGATATTCGCGGAAAATTTGGTCGGTAAAACGTAAAGGTACTAACAATGTTGTCGGAGAAAATACTTCTTGGTGATATCTGATACTAGATACACCAAAGGGTAATAGGGGTAAGGAAAAAATCTTGTATCTGTAGGTGTATGCTAAGAAAAAATAGATATGATATAGAGTTACAATCATTTCACTTACGCGTGAGAAGGATACCCTCCAGCAGGGCCAAAATGTGGATGGAATCCGCCATAGTTTGAATGCATGTGTGGAGCTACTGGTAACATTAGGTTACTTCAATATATATATATATAGCATAAATGTTGACATATTTTTTAAGATTTTAGATTAGAAAAATTTTTGAAAGATATTTTAAAAAAACAGAGTTTAAAAGTTTTTACCTGTTATCCGGATATGGCATAATATAATGAATTCTAACACGACTATTTTTGCGTTAAAAAAAAAAGAATAACAAGAATCGTCGCTTCGTCACAAGTCGAAAAAATCGTAAAATCGTAAATCAAGATAGACGTTTTATTATTATTATTTATTTTATTTTATTTTTTTTATTTTTTAATTTTTTTTTTTTAATTTTTTTTTTTTGAGACGGCTACGTCAGAAATTTTACGTCGTTGATGCGTTAAAAGTAGTCGTTGGTTGCAGAGACCAGGAATAATAAGATAAAGAGAAACCTCACACGATAAAATGTGGTCAGTGCGAAGACGTAAAAAACAAGAGCTAGAAATTCAAGAGAGTAAAACACGAGAGTGTTTTTGCTCGATTGAAAAATCAGTGTAGCCGGTAAAAAGCCAGTGTACGGAGCCCTGTTTATTAAGGTTGTTTTTGGATTGAAATTGAGTACAAGAAAAAAAAAATACAGCCAATCAGATGAGACCAAGACTATAAATGTATAAATGTACAAATAGATTTTATATATTTGGTAGTCTAAAAATATTTGACTAAAATACGATAAATAATTGCAAATCAATTAAGAGAACATCTACAGTTCAACACGCAATTTATATATATAAATTAGAAAAAAAAAAAAAAAGGATATATATATATATTTTATTATTTATAAGACTTGAATGCCTGGATCGGAAAGGACAGGAATTGGATCAAGAACCCTTTTTTTTTTTTAAAAAAAAAAATTGAGGGATAGATCTCTGATAGTATATCTCATTTTAACTTTATATTTCATTTTAACTTAGAAACTCAGTTTGGGCAGTGTTTGATATTTAATGACGGAATGATTCAAAATGTTTACAATCAGTGGCGCATTTTAGTGAATCCCTTGCGAGAAAGAAAGTGGCAGTGTAGGACTTGCTTGGTCACGTTACATAGAATTTTGTGACGTTTTTTTATTTTGAAAATTTGAGATTTCCCGGAGAAACTGGTTTTCAATAGAATATGAAAGGAATCCGTACAATTGGGGAATAGATTTATAAGCCTGCGAATGTATGCGTGATGAAAATGGATTAACTGGAAAGATATACGCGTTTTGGTTTTGGTTTGGCAATTCCAATTGGATTATAGAGTGTATAATAAATTATACAGTATATTTTATATTGGATAATATATTTTTTTATTACGCATAGCACATATATTTTTCTTTTAAAAATATTATATTAATTTAGATTTATATTTTTAATATTTTAGGTATATATATGCTAGTGAAAATAACACATAATAAACAAATCATAGGCAAAGGATATAAATAGTAATGTACCTAACGTCCAACTTCCGAAGCATTATTAATCCAATAACTACGTTAAGTACGTACGTATGATGTTCTGTACGTAAATTTATTGTTCTTTACAAACATAGAATATATGCTAGTTTAGGCCAACATATATTCCTGATAAAAAAATATAGTACCTGCTGATATGCTTAAAATAAGATCATTTATGCATACAAACAAATAAAAAGCCTAAAGTGAGAATGTTTAGTAAATTCTTGTTCAAAATCGTGGGTCAGAAAAAGAAACGCTAAAAATTTTTTGTTAGTTTGCGCCAATTTCATGAACACCGAGTCAAGTGGCTTTTTTTATTTTATTTTATTTTATTTTATTTTATTTTATTTTATTTTTATTTTTATTTTTATTTTATTATTATTATTATTACTATTTTTTTTTTATTGATGATTTTATATATTCCCTCTATTTAAGCCAGAATGAAATTACGAATAAAGGTAAACCTTTTATGACATGAAAATTTAAAAAATGGATAAATTAAAATTTACTTATAACATAATAAACATAATATAGAGTAAAAAAATTTTTAATAGAGCTTCATTTGGTATAGACTTTCACATCGATGATCTTCCAACTGAAAAAAAAAGGTCGATAGTCGGGATAGTCGGGATTTGCGGAAGTGCGGAACCGATAATGTACGTAATAAGAGAAATTCGAAGGAAAAATGTTCTTTTCAACTTTATACTTTACAAGTTATGTATTTATAGAACTTTACTGACTTATTACGTAAATAAAATGTGCGATTTTAGCATATGATTATTGAATTATACAGAAATAAAATGCTGCGGAATACGGACAGGTGCAAGAATCTAAAAGCAGGGTCCATGTACCAATATATCCGCATGGTATGACTAATGACTAAGTATTTATCCACAGATCTTTTTTTTTTCAAGAGTCAGGAACTTAAACTTTAAAAACAGACAATTCGTAAATACCTGATTCTCAATATATGGAACGATTGCTGGATTCCTTAAGATCTCATGCATATATTCAAAAACAATCATCTATTTATTGGCTGATAATAAATACTTTTATGCACGGATTTACTTCTCTCTCTCGCCATAGACATGTGTTATTAACGATGTTAGTAAGAGATTCCTGTTCTCATCCTTGTTGAATTATACCACGCATATTGTAAAAGTGCATCTAAAAACTTTCTTAAAATATGAAAATCAAATGAATTTCATTTCTTGTAAAATTAGGGCTCATTGATTAGTGACCGTGATTGTTGAAAAGCCACTTTTGGCATTACGAGATCCACCGAAAATCTTCGTATCTTTTATTGTCCAAAATAAACATGCAATGATATGCAATGAACCATATAACAAAGAAAGTGAGCAAAAAAAAAATGCTAAAAAAAAGATCAACATCAACTTGACCAAAATTAATTTTGTAACTCAGCCACCTGCAAATATCTACTTTGGTAGACCCTGAATATCTTATATTCACAGTAAAGAAAGTCCCCGAAAATTTTTGCTGCGCGTTATTCGAAATAGGAATTCCGTTGTCATACCCTATACTTTCTGCCCCTGTTTGGCCAAAGATTTATTGAACTACCTTATTAATCTCTATTAACAAATTGCACACATAAAGAGGCTTTTCCATTCTTCCATTCTGGTATGTTTTGTGTTTTTTGTGTTTCTTTGATTGATGTGTGACAAGTTTGCAGGTCGGCGTGTGACTGAGCCGCGTATTTCTCAATACATCAGCTGTCAATAATCAGACTTTTTTTTTACTATTATAAAAAGTTGATAAAACACTTTTTGATCATCATAATAAAAGAAATTTAAAATCGAAAAAAAAACTTTGATATCATCATGCCGAAGATGGGAATCGGAATAATTGCTCCATGTGGAAGATATACGATAATGAAGATAGAGAAATGTGGCGCGGTGCCGTGATACTCATCAAAATTCTCAGAACGCGATTTTAGAATCTTTAACCAAATTTAGTACAAATGAGGTTCAGCGTGAGACTCTTTATTTGAGGGTGCATTTATATTGTATACTGATTGGATAATCGAATTCTAAAGTTGGCTTTTCAATGTGCTTTCAATACTGCAATTATTTGCAATATTTGATATTCCCTCTGCAATGATCGACATGTACTATCGAACTCACTCATTGATTGATCTATTGATCTTCATACTGTGTTTTTTTAAGCGGCTGTGAGGTAAAATTTTTATAATAGAAAACAATAATGCACGGAGTGTGTTTATCACTTCTCGGCAACTTTCATGCGCAAAATTACGAATGTTTAATATTATATAAGCGTTTTTATGCATATGGCATAGTTCTAACATTTAAATATAACACATTATTTAAATATCATTAAATATTATAATATATAATATTATATATATAGTATATATACAGTATATACAGTATACAGTATATACAGTATACAGTATATATATTGTATATTTAAATTTTATATAACTGATAATGTAACATATATACTGTATATCCAATGTATTCAATGTATTCAATGTATTTTATTGCTAATTTTCACGTGATTTATGGTGGCGACAATATTTAGATACTATTTTTTTTTTTCTCATGTTTCAGATTATATATCTTTACAAATATTTTTTTTATAAATGATAAAAAAAATCTTTGGGGATCATTTAAAATCTGATGATGCATGTATTTGTTTTTATGTTGTGTCCCCTGCTTACAATCGAATCAACGTTCTAAAATCTGTTACATTCATTCTCGTGACCGAACAATGGGGAAATGAAACGAACAATAAAAGCTATTATCACCATTTTATTTTTATAATAATAGATTCTCACAATCAAACAAAGAAATCAAGAAAAAAATTTTTTAAAAAAAATTTCGATAACAGGAAAAGGATAAACTCTTTCATGACACCAATGTCTCGTGGAAACGATTTTCGTTCGTTCCGTAGAAGGAAGAAACAAACAAATATTTGATTATTACACATATTACATATATATATCTTTCTTCATCTATACTTACAAAACAAAAACTTGGCTTGATTTTTGAAATATATAAAAATAAATTGCTTATTTGACAATTTTGTCGATCCATAATAAACTTAAAGATACTAAAAAAAAAAATTTTTTAATACGTCCTGTTCTTATCATTCCCCAAATTATGATTCAAGGAGTAATCCAGAATTATGCACATCACCCGTTTAAAAAAAGAATAAACTTTTGTGATTTGAGGATTTGTTATCTCATGTGACGAGTTTATTAGCCATGTGGTTGATCAAAAATTTAGATGAGTCACTGGATACTGACTTGTTTACGGATATTTTTCAGTATGACATGAAACAAATAATGGGCTTATTTTAATGAGTTTCATAATGATTTTGCTAATCTTGTATTCTCCGCCTCAATGATGTTTCTAACTTTGTTTTATTGCTGCGGTCGTGGCTTGGTCAAAGCCTCCTTTACGATGTACATTTGAAAAAAAAACGAAGCCTTCCCGGAATGGCTGTGTGGGAATATTAGGTAAAATGTTGAATGAAAATTACTATGTTAGAAATGGTAAATAAACTTCGCCACGC